TATGTTAGTTGAATAGTCATAAAAATGTTTGGAGACGGAGTGCTTGAACTAGAAAATGTGAATCTCTCAACTGACAAGATAGGGAGTCTAAAAAAACAAAGACATGAGATGGAACTGGTTTACTCTAATTATCTAGAAATTCTCAGAAGCTCAACATTAATTTTTCTCTTAATTTCTTGGAGGAAAAAAATGAATTTACCAAGCTCTTACAAAACACTGCACTTAGTTTCAGCCATTCCAATTGTAAAGATAATCTGCTTCAATCAAATGAAGGCTATATGCAGAAGAGAAAGATACAGGGTTAAACTGGTATTTTTCTCAATTTAGATCAGATTAGGGCTATAAAATGGAAACAACAACAAAAAACTAAGTCTTAATTGATATGTATATCCTGGGAGGTAACTGTAAAAATAGACATAGACACGACAGTATGCATTTTCTTTTTTTTTTTTTAAGAGACAGAGTTTTACTTTGTCACTCTGGGTAGAGTGCTGTGGCATCACACAGCTCACAGCAAGCTCCAACTCCTGAGTTCAGGTGATTCTCTTGCCTCAGCCTCCCGAGTAGCTGGGACTACAGCTGCCCACCACAACAGACATTATGCATTTTTTATTCCTTTTTTAAATAAAGCAATGTATATTTGAGCCACATAACGAATTTGAAGAATAACTGGAACTCATGCTGACCTTGGTGAAAATTTTTTGGTATTTAACTGCTATATTAGCTTATAATAGGATAAAGGGTAAGAATGCTCTGTTAATGAAACCAAGTGAAAAATGTGACTCTTAAATTTTACTCAAGCTATACCAAAATAAGATCTCCCATTTCTAGAGTTCCACATATTTTCAAATTAAGCATAATGACCCTTGGAAGACTTAATTCCTAAAACTTCATATGAAATTATGAATTCCAAATCTATCTTTTAAACATATGACTTCATTATTTACATGTCTATCTTCTGCCATATGGCTTCCTTAAGACATTGACCTGAGGGTCTACAACCCTTTAGATCTCACTTTCTCACCTGCAATATCCCTTAGACTTTAGGGAGAGACTGCATGACCTCCAGAGCCCAAGACCCTCTGTAACCAGGGAGTCCCAATTTGGTGGTATGAGCTCTTCAAACATTATCAGAAAAAAACACCTGGCAACTTGATGGGTCTTCTACCCAACCCTAGAAGAGCCTTTTTGGGTATTTTATTCAGTATGTTTGGAGTAGGTAAGTAAATGATAGAGCCTACTAACAGACAAATGAAACCTTTTTTTGTTTGTTTTGGGCCAAAGCTGGGTTTGAACCCACCACCTCCCGCATATGGGGCTGGTGCCCTCCTCCTTAGAGCCACAAGTGCTGCCCGACAAATGAAACCTTTTTATCCTCACATATCCTGGCCTCAGGTTGAGGTTATAATACTTGGGAAAAGATTTTTTTTTTTTTTTGAGACACAGTCTCACTTTGTAGCCCTCAGTTGGGTGCCACAGCATTACAGCTCACATCAACCTCATACTCTTGGGCAAGCGATTATCTAGTCTCAGCTTCCTGAGTAGCTGGGACTACAGGTGCCTGCCACGATGCCCAGCTTAGTTTTAGAGATGGGGCCTTGCTCTGGCTCAGTCTGGTTTTGAACCTGTGAGCTCAGGCAGTTCACCTGGCTTGGGCTCTCAGAGTGCTAGGATTAAAGGTGTGAGCCATCGCACCCAGCCTGGAAAAGATGTCTTATGCATTCATATTTTTCAAAGGAGCTAGGAAAATACTTTTTCATTATTTTTCCAGGTATTATTGAGACAGTCAGTCAGATTATTTCTGCATGGGTTGCTGATCAAAACTGGATCAAGAAGTACCATTACCACAAGTCTTACCTCATCCTCTGTGGCATCACTAACCTGCTTGCTCCTTTAGCCACCACATTCCCACTACTTATGACCTACACCATCTTCTTTGCCATTTTTGCTGGTGGTTACCTGGCAACGATACTCCCTGTACTGGTAAGTAGACGCACTCATTAATGTTGTTGAAACACTTAGTAAAAGCAATCTCCCCAAAGAGAAGACATACTTCATAGTAATTTTATTAACTTAAAAATCATACCAACAGGGCAGCACCTGTGGCTCAATGAGTAGGGCGCCGGCCCCAGCCAAACTGCAACAAAAAATATCCAGGCGTTGTGGCGGGCGCCTGTAGTCCCAGCTACTCAGGAGGTTGAGGCAAGAGACTAGACTAAGCCCAAGAGCTGGCAGTTGCTGTGAGCTGTGACACCACAGCACTCTACCAAGGGTGACAAAGTGAGACTCTGTCTAAAAAACAAAAATCATACCAACAGCCTTAGGAACCCTATAATTTATTTGTCTTACTTCGGGGGAAAGATGTTGAGAGGACTATCCATATGGGACAGGAAAGAAGTAAAAGCAAAGGCTCGGTGCCTATAGCTCAACCGGCTAAGGCGCCAGCCACGTACACCTAAGGTGGTGGGTTCAAATCCCCAGCCCGGACCC